GCATTGGTTACAGAAGGATTTCTATACTTCTGAATGTTTCAGTGAGCACTGTTGGGAAGTGGAAAGAACATCATTTCACCATAAACCGGCCACGACCAGGTGCTCCTCGCAAGATTTCTGACAGAGGAGTGAAAAGAATTATCAGAAGAGCTGTCCAAGAGCCAAGGACTTATAATTTCAGCGAGACAATGATCCCAAACACACAGCCAAGGAAACTCTCAATTGGTTTCAGAGAAAGAAAGTAAAGCTGCTAGAATGGCCCAGTCAATCACCTGACTTGAATCCAATAGAAAATCTATGGAAAGAACTAAAGATCAGAGTTCATAGAAGAGGCCCATGGAACCTTCAAGATTTGAAGACTGTTTGTGTGGAAGAATGGGCCAAAATCACACCTGAGCAATGCGTGCGACTAGTTTCTCCATACAGCAGGCGTCTTGAAGCTGTCATTACCAACAAAGGCTGCTTTTGTACGAAGTATTAAATAAATTTCAGTAAGCGTGTTTAATACTTTTTCCCTGGGTCATTCCATTTATTACACAGAACTTAATTTCTGAACTTATTTGTATTGCTTTCTTTGTATTTATGGATTACTTGGACATCTCGTGAAAATTTCATGTCAACAGCACCTTTAGAAATATATTTACTGAGAAAAATGGTGATGTGTTCAATACTTATTTCACCCGCTGTATATGGCCGTTAGCAGCACGAAAAACAAAACTTTTATTCAAATTCTGAACGGATTAGAATGTGCGCAAATAGCCATTCCTTTAAAATCAGTAAAAATGTGTCACTTCAGTTCATCGCGATCTCAGAAAGTTCCTTTATAATTAATGAATCTCTTATTTACATGGTGTTACAGAGAGAGGAGTCACCGTGCAGGGAAAAAGTTTAGAGGTGAGTGAACGCAATGTCCAATCACAGGTGTTCAAGAAATCAACAGAGATATGTCTGTAATTGGCTCATTGCTCAGTACTACGAAAACACGTTGTAAAGAATCTAGACGCTTTCCAGAGCCTTTACCCCATTTTTTCGCCAATATCCTATTATTATAGTTTTAACTGAGGGTGCTTTTGACTGTGAGAAAATGGATGTGTGGCGTGAGAGCGTGAGAAAAGTGTCACGCTGAATGCGTGAGAGTTGGCAGCCCTGCTTAAATACGGGACAAACTGCATTCTGTATAGCTTTCATACGGAACGTTTCTTTGATGACTTAAATACGAGCCAATTCTGTATTATATGGAATGGTTAGCAACCCTACCCCCACCACTGATATAAAATGTGTATGTACCGAGTGGACATTGTGTTGCAGACGAGTCTGATCTCCTCTTGTGATGGTGGTCTAGAGGAAGCTTGTGAGAAGCCATCATCCTCTGAGCTCTGAGACACATTGAACGGGATTTCCTAAAATAAAAAAAAACTATTTTACATAATCACTAAAATATACACCGTTAGCCATTCTATCACTTTTATAACCAGCCGAGTTGAAATATAAAGAAGGTAAGTGTGTAATGCTCAGATATTATTACTGAATGTACAGAAACGTATGTTTTTTTTTGTTTTTTTTTCTCACGGGTAGACTGTTTTCCTGAAGTAGATCTCCAAGTATCTCCACCAGAGCTGGAAACGTGGGTCTCTCCCTGGGCTCGCCCTGCCAGCAGGCCAGCATGATGCCATATCTAGCAGAACACACATCACACATCACACGAGTTTCAGTCTGACTAGCAGCTTGGAGTAGAGCAAACACTCAGACAGAGTCATCAGGCCAATGCTCACATTTCAGGGGATGCGTTGTCTGGTGCCCTCATCCTGGTACCGTCTTTGAGCCGCTTGCAGAAGTCTTCATCGATCTGGATGCCCGGGTATGGAGACGCTCCTAATGGGACATGATACAATCAAGTCTGTGATCAAAGACTTTATACAAGTTTAAGAAAATGTAGACAGAACAGAACAGAATTAATTTGTTTCTTGAGCAGCATATCAGCTTATTAGAATGATTTCTGAGAGATCAGGTGACACTGAAGAATTAATTAATGGCTGCAGAAAATTCATGGGCGCTTGGGAGGGAGGTCCATCAAAAGAAGAAATTATATTTTAAAATGTATAAAATAGAAATCAGTTTAAATTATTACTGTATGTTTTTTATCAAATAAATGCAGCCTTGGTAAGCGTAAGAGACTTTCAAAAACAAGAAAAAAATTAATTATACCATATACAGTATATGAGCAGAAAAGTTTGGGTTTGAGGAATTGCCAGTGCTCAGGTATCAGGTAGACTCTTACCTAGTGAGAAAATCTCCCAGAGCAGCACTCCAAATGACCATACATCACTCTGACTGGTGTAAACCTTATCAAAGATGCTCTCTGGAGCCATCCACTTCAGCGGCAGTCTAGCCTGCAAAGACAGATAACATTTCACCTATAATAGTGCCTGTGGGAGAATACACTCTTATCATGATCCTGGAGCTGATATGATTTGCAGTAGGTCAACCATTCATCAATGCCTCTCAAGGGTAATCTCATAAACTTACCCTTTCTGCTTCATTATGTTTATGTCATGCAGTAATACTACTAGTATTGTTACATGTTCATCTTTTGCTTCGGTATTTTATTTTTCCAAATAATATTACGTATTCAATATTGCCTCAACATTTCTGACAATTTTCAATGGATTGCTGATATCTTTATATCATGACGCAAAGGCCAGACAAGTCATTTTTAACCGCTGGCCTTTACTGAAATGCATTCATATTGAATCTCATGTGGGGTCACATTTCACATGTCCAGGTTATATTTTACATAAAAATCTAAATGAAATAAATGAATAAGAAAACAAACACATCTTGAAGACCTTTTTTTGTAAAATTTGTTTTGTAAGGATGTAAATTAATGATCATTTGTTCTTTTAAACATTAAATGCTGTACCACAAATACTATCATTATATTTAAATACTTACTTTTTATTATTTTTAAATTACTTTTTTTGCTTTCTGCATTACAGTATTGAAAATTGAGGAAAAAGTTGCATCGAATAAAATGTCCTTTTTTATTTTTGAGTGAAATGTGACCTGGACTTTGTCTTCACAGTTTTAATGAGATTCATACTACAATACTACACTAGAGAACTTTCTGGATCATGCTTTTATTGAAAGGGTTTCTCTTACATTGCCTTTGCGCACGTAGTCAGGGTCTTTGTAGATGTCCCGTGCTAAACCAAAGTCACAGATCTTCACCACGTTGTTATCAGACAGGAGGATGTTGCGGGCCGCCAGGTCACGATGAATGCACTGTCAGAACAAAATCAAGATTACTATATCTATACCTTATTTCATGATAGATGAGCAGATCTAAAATATTTGCAACTTTCTCATCATCAGTTTTTTTTTTATTATAAGATTTAATTTTTTCATATGATCTAGGTATTTGTCCACATTTGTAAAAAATCTGTATCCAGCATAACTTTCCCCCGTTTGATGAGCATGGACAGCTCTAGAAGAGCTCTAACGTTCACCTATTAATAATCTACAACCTTTTTTTGATTCATCAGAGAGGTTGAGCTTGAATACATGTTTGAAATGTACCTTACGAGACGCCAGAAACTCCATCCCTCGAGCAACCTGAAAGCTGTAGCAAATCAAATCCTCTATCGTGAGTGGAGTCTTCCAAAGATCATCCACTGCAGCTGGGGAAAGAAAAACAAAAGAAAATATCAGAAAAGGCTTAAATGCATTATATAAGAATATCAGTCAGGAAGGGAATTCAATAAAAAGACTGTTAGGCTGTTGTGGGTGATTGCTTGGGTGTAATCGTTAAGGTGTTTTAAGTGCTTCTGAGCATGTTGCTATGCTATTAGCAACTTTCAACAACACATTTGCAGTTGATTTATAATAGGCATGTTATATGCATGTTTGTGCTGAGTTCTCTATGCACCAGCAGGTGTCCCCAGTTTGTGGCATTTTGAATGCTTCGAAACCGAATCATTTTGCCAAGCAAGTGGCTCATTTGATTTAAAGCTTTATTTCACTGTTCAAGTGCTATGTTGTTAGAAACAAAAGGTTTATTGCAGCATATTTCCAATTCAAATGCATAACCAAAATCAATGAACAAGTTGTCAGTATTTTGATAAAAGAATAAATACTACATCTTTATATATCTTTAGACATTCTGCTCTTTGACTTCTGAGTGCTCTTACCACGAGACTGCATTGGAGGGTTGATGTTGGAAGTGGTGGACGGCTGACATTCATTCTGGCTGACCTGACCCGCTTCTATCATTCGTCGCACCTGACTCTGAGTTTTAGGAGAACGGTCCTGCAGACACAAGCACACGTTACACCAGAACACATATCAGTTTTTATTGTGAGAGGGTGGATATATGTACTATATCATCCTGTTATTTATTTCTCTCACCCTGTACGGTAAGAAGAACTCTCTTTTGGCACGCAGGAAGTTGGAGAGATTTCCGTATTTACAATATTCCACTATAACCATGAGAGGACCTGACAATAAGAGATGTAGAGAAGAAGTAAGAAGGATGCTGCAGACAAACAGATTTATGCCAATATTGAGTTACAAAGATACAATCAAACAGTGTTTAAAAGGTTAAGGCTTTTTTTTCATAAAATACTGCCATATTGGCCAGGTCAACACAAAAAAAGTAAGTGCATTTTGTAAGTGGTATCATTCTGCCAGAAGATGGTCCCTGACATGTAAACTTTACATGCTGCAGTGATATACACAGTAGCTGAGGATGTAACATTTCTATACTGAATCACTGTATTGACCAATCAGCATCCAAGACCAAAAGGTAACTATTTTATAATGGTACGTTCATACCGTTGGGTTTGGTACATGCTCCAAGAAGGTTGACGACATTGAGATGGTTTCCAATATGAATGAGGATCTTAAGTTCTGACATCAGAGCTTTGTGTTCACTGGCTGTGGCTCCCTCTGTGATATACACACATGCCGTTAAGTATACATA